TCTTCCGCTTCCCAATCTTCTCCTGTCCTAACACGGTGTCATCCGCCACAGTCCGATATACCTTGGCCGCACCGAGGAACGAGTCCGGCGCAAACCCGCCTTCTTCGGATAACGTCCGCGCGATCTCCTCCATCTCGGTTACCCAGCGATACGCCTTGGGCGCCATGTCTACTACCCCTTTCGCCGCTAGCTCGTAGTGCCGCGGCAGCACGGCTTGCAGCTCCCCTTGCAGATCGGATAGCACGCCTAGTCGGTGCGCCGTGGTGAAGGACTGGATCGCAAGCGACGTAAAGCCCTTGGTGAAGCTCGCGAAGCACATCTTCAGCCCGCTCGCGGCGCCGATCTCGGGCGAGACGTGTCGCGCGTTGAGCGTGGCCGCGAGCTTGGCTCCGAAGCGCGGGATATCGGAGAGCTGGTGCGGGCCGGACGTTGGGATCCGCGGAAGTAACCATTCGGCGGCGGCGCCACCAGCGCTGCTGCTCTTAAGCGCCGGTGGCAGTCCGAGGATGGACCCGTCGACGAAGCGCACGGAGAGCAGCCGCGGGTGGTCGAATAGCGCGGCAATGCGCTTTATGCTGGAAGGCGCCACGGCGTTCAAGTCGGCGAAGTACAGCGGGTTATCGTCGGCGCGGCGCAGGGGACCCGAGACGGCGTCTGCGATGCGCTGCGCAGTGGCGACGGCGTCGCGGGGGGGCACGACGGATAGGATTACGGAGCATTGCTGGGTTAGGGCTTCGTCTGAGTTGAGGAGCTCGACTTGTGCGCTCTTGGCTCGGTCGAGGGTGTCGTTGCTATTAATATATATATTAATATATGTATGTTAAGTTAAATATACCTGAGGCTTAGGGGAGAGGGAAAGGGGCGGTAGGGTAACTGACCTTCTACCTTTGACGTTGGTCGCTACTGAGAATCCATTGGCGACAAGTAACTTGGCGATACCCAAGCCCATGTCTCCGATGGAGATTATGCCGATCTTGGCTAATGGAGACGACATCCTTGGATTATAGCCCGACTAGTTACGAGTTGAAACTTCAAAGTATCGCGAAGACGCCCAGGTACTTGCAATCTGTCAGATATTACTATCTGTCCGACATAAATATAAATAAAAATAAAGCATAATAGAATAGAATCTATTAACTACCAAATAACCTTTTAGTGGTATAGCGGTTTGTTCGACACAATCCTGTCAGTTTGCTGCGTACCTATGTTACCTCCGCAATGTGATGATGCATCTAACCTACATAGGCTGCTGTGTGCGTTATTAGTGCGATGACGAGCTTCCCGCATGGATGTTTGTCGGTGGCTTGCGCCATTGTCCTATTATCTCGCCCAATAGGCTTGGAGAAAACGTATCCCTTATGGTATCCCTCTACATTGTCGCGGTTGGGCGCATACGGTCCAATGCCGGTAGACGTTGTCCCGGCCGTTTGGGTATTGCAGACTTGAAGATATAAACTAGGCGGCCATAGAATATAACTAGCATTATGTTGATATTGTACGGAATACTATGCTAGCTGGTTATTTGTTTAATGCTTGTTAACTTTTGTGTCGAGCATCCAGATACCTACACTATACCGAGATGAAGTGGACTTATAGTGAGCCAATGAAATCGTCAATAATTGGTACTTAACAGATCCCTGTTGATTTTGTTAGCTATGTAGTGTATGTATGTACCTGGTGAGGCAGTTGGTTGTATTATTATTACATACCTAACCTAGTTATTACATTTATTACCCTTATCCCCCTACTCAACCAGAATAGTTCCCATCCAGATATCTAGTATAAACGGTTATCCAATCGTAATAATTCCCATCTTCGAACATCCTTACAGACATGCCGGGGTTAGCGGTTGGTTAGCCGCATGGCAATAAACTCGTTGAATCTATCCGAATAGAGAATGGACCTCGTCTTCAATTACACCGGGTCGGCCTATGCGCATATCATTCTCCCCGTAACAATCGACTAAGAAGCCCTATGTGGAAGCTTTTCTAATGTACCTCGGCTGCCTAGCCTAATAAAGTATTCAAGTCATCATGACAGATGAGCCATCTACATTTACCTATTAAGGTTTCAGGTCTTCTCCGGCCTCTTAATCACTCAAATCTCTCCGGTTGCGTATTGCTGGGCTCCCGATAATTTGCCCGACTCGTGAGTGAATACCTTCGCCTTTGGCCTTGCTAATTAAGCGGTACGACACAAGTAGAAAGAAAGATGATGAAGCACCTTACGCGTTCCCTCTGAGAATAGTCCCAGGCAGACAATTATCCGAAGCTCCCATACGGTTTTGTCCAACTCGTTCTGTAAAACGTCGAGTAGAATTTAGGAAAATCCCTGCAGCTTTACCCGCAGTTTCAAGTTCTGGTTGGTGGGCCGGCCAGTCTCGGTTTCGCTTCACCCTGTCTCTACTAGATCATAGGTATCATCTAAGATCCGTCCTAACCGCAGTAACGGGCTACAGTACGAAGTAATCAAGTCTTAACGTTAAATAGAGAGGGCCTCCACGGCTCCGGAAATTTTTGATACTTTCCACTTCAGGTTACGAGGTCACGATAGCTACCTAGACTGGACAACACGGTCATTTCTATAAACTCCGCACTCCTATTACTTTGCCAGCGGCGTAGACTTCAAGTCTTCCTAACTGGGGGGGTTAGTCTCAACTATTTAATCAGCCACACGCTCTTTGTCAACTACGAAATCGACATGCTTAGGGCTTATTAGGCAGTACTAGGATTTTCGTACGACATTTTCAATATATAAGCCGCCGGTACCAAGTTATTGTTATTATTTAACCCGTCGTCCAGTACAATTTATTATTCTAGCCGCTGTTTGGACATTCGTAAGATCGGCTCCGGTAGTGCATAGCTTTTGGTTCGGCTCGCCCCTGATCCGTCCATTTCATAAGACTTACGACCTGAGGTCACGTTCGCCTTTATATACATCGTTGCACTCTATACTTTTCGAGGATCAGTCATCGCAATATCAACTACGCTATCTGGAATTATACACAATACGTAAGATGGCGTTCCCTTGGCGAGTTGTCGCTACCATATCTCTTATTTCAACTTATTTTATTACATCTCGTCGGCCACCATGGAGTATAACACAGTTCCTTAGCACCTTCGTCGCCACGTGGATTTTACAGTCTTTCTTCGTGGGTATCTGGAATATATTTCTGTACCCTTTTTACTTTTCCCCGCTACGTCACCTGCCGGGACCGAAAGGCGGCTCTTGGATCAACGGGCAATTTAAAGAAGTGAGAGAGAAGCCTACAGGCATACCTATGAGAGAGTGGTATGTATACACGCAATCGATTTATTGTTCTACCCCGCTGATATATTATTAAGGGCTACCAATATTCCAAATGATGGGCTCATCCGGTATCGTTTCATTTTCAACACGGAACGTCTCCTCGTGACGGGGCCAAAAGCCCTAGCAGACCTCTTAGTGGCGCGAAGCTATGATTTCCAGAAGCCGTCAAATGTTCGATTTGGCCTTAGCCGCCTTCTAGGTGTAGGCATACTTCTAGCGGAGGGCGACGAGCACAAGTTTCAACGTAGAAACCTCCTGCCAGCCTTTGCATTCCGGCACATCAAGGAGCTTTACCCAAGCTTCTGGCAAAAAGGCCGCGAATGTGTTCAGGCTATGACAAAAAGCATCATCGCCGATGCGCAGAAAGAGACGTCTATCGCAGACCCTGAGAAGGCTAAGAAGACTGGAGTCTTGGACGTCAGCGTTTGGGCATCTCGCGTGACCCTGGATATTATTGGCGCTTCAGGCCTCGGAAGAGACTTTGGTGCAATCCATGATCCGGAAAATGAACTCAACCAGACGTATCGAAGTGTGTTCAAGTCTTCCAGGCAAGGCCAAATCCTCTCTCTCATGGCACTATTCGTTCCGGAATGGATATTGTCTAAGCTTCCTCTCCAACGCAACACCAATGTATACGCAGCATCAAGGAAAATTAGGGGTATATGTCGGGATCTGATCCGAGAGAAGAAGGAGAAGTTGGCACGCAACGAGCTTAAGGAGCGCGACATACTTTCTGTCGCCTTAGAGTCTGGTGGTTTCACAGAAGAGAATCTTGTCGACCAGTTGATGACTTTCCTAGCCGCCGGCCACGAGACGACAGCCACTGCAATGACGTGGGGTATATATATGCTTGCTAAATATCCGGATATCCAAAACCGTCTCCGTGCCGAAATCCGCGAGAACCTACCGCCGATCGACTCAGACCGAGAAGTCACCAGTCTTGATATCGACCACCTGCCTTACCTAAACGCTGTCTGCAACGAAGTCTTGCGCTACTACTCTCCGGTGCCGCTTACGATCCGCGAGGCCGCCGTGGACACTGTGCTCGCAGGGCAAAAGGTGCCCAAGGGAACCGTGATTGTCATATCACCGTGGGCGACTAATTTCGATAAAGGCATGTGGGGTCCTGATGCGCACGAGTTCAACCCGGAGCGGTGGATGCCAAAGGGTCCCGATGACAAGAGAGCCGCCAGCGGCGGTGCTACAAGCAACTATGCTTTCCTGTCGTTCCTCCACGGACCCAGGAGCTGTATCGGCCTATCCTTCGCAAAGGCCGAGTTCGCTTGTCTGTTGGGATCTTGGGTCGGTCGCTTTGAGTTCTCGCTGAAGAATAAGGAAGAAGAGGACGAGAGGAATATCGAAATCAGGGGTGGCATCACCGCTAGACCGGTTAAAGGGATGCAAGTCTATGCTACGATTGTGGATGGGTGGTGATCGTGCATATGGTGCGCTTTGGACAGGATCGCTAATGTATAATTCGATGTTTAGATTACGTGTTATGACACAGCTTTACATATTGGTTCCCCTCATGTTATATTCGGTTTCTTTTCTCGATGCGGATAACCTTTACAGCAACCTGTATTACAGAAGTAGCAAGCGTGCAATACGTCAACAGAGGATTAGTAGAGGTAGTCCAATTTAACTTAATTTTTTATCGCCTGGAAAAAAATAGTTAATCTTGACTGAACTGAGATTTTGTCATAAAGGTACAATATTCATTCTTCTTTCATTCGTTCATCCCTGCCTCCCTTAGATGCCGTTTACGCCGAATTTCAAGAAGTGCGGGTCCTCCTTGAGGCGCTTCCCTAGCTCCCCAGTCTTGAGCTCGTCGACGTCCCATGGGGCCCATACGAACCGGCCGTGGATGAATTCCGCTTCGGGAGTAGCCGCCCAGACAGCGAAGCCACCTGGGAGCGAGGCTATTATATATTAGGTTAGTTATATCTGTTCAGTCCAAATAGCGAGAAGTGGAAAGAGTTGATATATGTTCAGTCATGACATACCGTCTTCCCAAGGCAGAGAATCCTTAGTCAAGCCCGTCTTCTCCACGGCCTCAGTGAAGATGGCGCCGGGGTGAAAAATGACGACCTGCATATCCTCCGGAGGGATATCGTATGCAACGAGTTGCAACGTAAGCGCGCCTGCATGCTTGGTCATGGAGTAAGTCGGCATTGCCGCCGTAGCGTCGAAGTTATGGACCGCGCCAGTCGATACGTGGATAAGATACTATTTCCCCCCTTGAAGTTAACATGATATGCTCTGAACCGGGTTTGAGAGGTATGCATATTTGCCTTACCTTCTTACTACCGGCGGCCAACTCCTGTTTATAGAATCGCTCCGTCATGTCAAACTGCGCGCGCACATTGAAGTCATATGCTTCCCAGACGCCCGCCAAGCCTTGTTCCATCAGAGGCTTCACGATACCCGTGTTTGCCGCGTTGAGCACTAGGACATCGATGCGCGTGCCTTCGCCGGCAAAACGGCCCCAGAGCTCGGCGACAGCTGTAGGACTACCAACATCGCTTGGGATAGCGATCACCTTAGTGCCCTGGCTCCCTGCGGATAGAGATTCGGCGGCGGCCTTGACTTTATCCGCCCGTCGGCCGAGGATGATGACTGTATCTGCCTTGGCTTGTACGAAGGACTTGGCGATGTGGTACCCGATACCAGTCGAACCGCCTGTGATTAAAACTGTTTTTCCTGCCTGAGAGAGCTCGGGGCGGGTGGGAGTGATAGTTGGGTAAACACTCTTGTGGTAAGTCGGGGTTAGTTTCTTCCAAAATGAATCCATGGTATCCATGATATCCATGATTGCGAAATTAGATTGATGCACAAGTATATATATGTGTTTGATCCTTATTTAATGATGGAGTTATACAAGGCTTATTCTGGTTCGGCTTGCTTTGACGATGGCTTGAATGCTAAGATGTAAGTAATGGATGAATGTAAGGGATGCGACCTTATTATATATACCATCATTATGCGGAATACTACATTGAATATCCCTTCAAAACTAACTGGATCTCGGGGTCGGTAGTGCCCCGTTCTGCAGTTCACCTCGTGGGAATAAGGCAGTTATAGAAGGGGAACCCCCCTATTTTCCGCAACTTCCATTGGCTAAAGTCCGTAAGACCTTTCCATATATAGTACGTGTGTCCACATTTCTCCGCCGCTACGGGCTGACAAATGAAGCCGTCTTAGATTTATTTTCGTATTCATGTCAGATGTTCGGGGGCCTTTTGGTTAACATATATGGGTTTACACGGACAAGTTGCTAACGAAGTAATCGCTATTCGACCAACTATGGCTTCTATTTGGCGAAGAGCTTGTGTCGGCTGCACTAAATCTAAACGGCAATGTACCAAAGCCGTACCGGCGTGTCGGCGCTGTGCAAACAAAGGAATTCCTTGCGTATATCCGCCGGCCCGACGAACTAACAACATCCACCTAGATGCGGATGCGGCCGCCGCAATATCTTCCGCAATACCTTCCGGAACCACCGGGGGTTCCGCAAACCCGCTTCCTATGATTTGTCATGATAACGACCGGGTGGGGAACGATGACATAAACTTCCATCCGCTACAGCTGATGCAATCAGACTTGGTTGAAGAAATGATTTCACGAGCAACAATATACCATTCACAGCCCTCAATAGGCATTGATCCAACAGCCGTTTCAACAGGACTGTGGTTCCTGGGGCCGGAGTCATGGGTCACAGATCATACTCCATGTGCGCCTAACCAACCTGAGCTTAGTCAGGATCGTGTGCTTCAACGTTTCGTCGACAGCGTTCAGGATTGGCTGCGACGGTGGGTGACGGACGGCGGTAGCCCGCTGCACCATCACCAGTTGTACCGCGAGAACATGCCGCGGTGCGTGCAAGATGCACATTCAGCTATTGCTCTATATCATATGACAACCTGCAGCAATGCTGACACGAGGGCTATGACGGCTCGTGTGCTGGAGGACCGCGTTACGCAATTGTTAGCGGATCAAACTTTCGAGGCCTCGCTAAGGGGGGGTGAGGAAATGAGCACATTTGACCATATATGTAGGGTCCAGTCGCTACTAACGTACCAGACCATTCGACTTCTCGATGGCGATATACGCATGAGAGCCCAAGCCGAGGCGCTGATTCCCACTCTCTTCCGTTGGACGCAACAGCTCCTCGACAGCACAAAGAACAGCTTGACGCAGCCGGCACGCTTCCTCGCTGACATTGCAGCGTCCTGTCCTAACGTAGCTGATTCCGAGGATGCCATCCTCTGGGCGGCCTGGATCCTGGTCGAGAGCACGCGGCGCACGTGGCTCGTTGCCAACTACCTTCAGGAGACATATCTCTACATGAAGCAAGGGTGGAGCAAGTGTCCGGGGCGCGTACCCAACACGATGCATGGCCGCTTATGGGATGCGACGTCGGCGTATGCCTGGTCCAAGGCTTGTCGTGAAATCGATACCGTGCTCATCCCCACACAGCGGATAGAGAAGCTACTCTTCGAAACAAATCCTGAAGATCTTGATGAGTTTAGCTTATTAATTGTGGAGCTAATATACGGTATGGAGAGAATAGAGAAATGGATTGAGGACTCGAGAAGGGAAAAACAACAAGCGCTATCAGATATAATCTAACCTAGTGAGCGGATATTATGCCGGCATAATATAAGCACAAGGTGAATGAAGTCAATACCCCTTAGATAGTAGTGTGCGAGACATAGACAGGCAGTGTGGTGGAAAACAGGACGATTCGCGAACAACTGATGCTGAAATCTTGTACATTAAAAATAACGAATCAATTTGACTTGGATCAACAGCGATCAGTAACGTTAAATTCCCAGGTAAAATTTAATAGTTTCCCAACCCATCCACTTTGCACGTGACGTAAGCCACTAAAAGCCACCACGGCCACCACAGCCATAATCATTATTACAATTAATACCGGGTAACCTTATACCGCTTCTTACACTCGAATATTAATAACTTTACTAATACTGGTTTAATTTTTCTAAAAAAAACGTTATTAATTATATAAGAAAATTAGCAAAATTTTAAATTTGGTTGCACGTGATTCGGACTAATATTCATCCGTATGCGGTTAAAAACGTATATTTTAACTTTAGTGGGTATTCCAGCGCTTTTTTTAGTGGCCTTTATCCCTTATAATTTATTTGCTTACATAATTAATAACTTTACCAAATCAAGTCCGACAAATTTATAAATAGTACCAAAATTTAAATAATTAAATAAGCAAAATTATAAAAAGAAGCCTGTATTTTTATCGAATTATTTGGTAAAGATGCATGCATATTTATGTAATATACCCTCGAAAATACATTTTTATATATGTAATTATATACCTTTTTTAATATCTTTACTAATCTTAGGCCAAATCACGTGCAACCTGGACCTTATTTTTACTAATTTTCTTATTTAATTAATTACGTTTTTTTCAAAAAATTTAAATAAAATTTCATAAAGTTATTAAAGTAAACGTTAAAAAAGGCAAAATATTACCGGGTACGTACCTTGTTTAGTAATAATGATTCGTGGTGGCCGTGGTGGCCGTGGTGGCTTTTAGTGGCTTACATCACGTGCAAAGTGGATGGGTTGGGAAACTATTAAATTTTACCTGGGAATTTAACGTTACTGAACAGCGATGTAAGGCAGAGGGCAACAGGAACGGAAACAGTCAACTCCTAACGACGAAATGAAACTAGAAAAATACTCAGATAGGATCTTCCTCATGGCGATGCAGCAAGGCACCGATCACAATGAAAATCAAAATAATTTGAAAGATATCAAAAATTGCGCCCACTACGATCCACGAGGGATAATAGAAGAGGGTCGACTCCGCGATGTGCAATGCAGGTCTCCCCCCTTAAGAGTCCTTATGCTTGAGCAAGGACTCTTCGGACAAGGTAAGTATGAAGAAGAAAAGAAGAAAAGAAATCCTAGAAGACGGGAGGGGAGGCCAGATATTTATACGTATTTTTAGGGCGGTCAGGGTTGCCTGAGAATCAGTCAAAGCGGCAGCGGCAGAATTCGCCAAGGCAACAGCCACAAAGTCCCACACAAAACTGGAAGTCTCGATGACGATGCAAACTTTAAATCAGGTCATAGCTTGAGCTTATCGGACAATGAATATTTAATTTGTTACGCTACGTACGTCAGAGCTTTGAAGCTTTAAGCAATTGCGCGAATCGCTAAGGTTACTGCATCAAATGGCCTAAACTTTAGGTACGCTAGCGTGGATCGTGATAGTCTTTCAACCAATCATTGTATTTTACGGCTCTTCAATATGGAAGGCGACCTTAGAAGTCGCTCAGCAGGGGGTGGGTACTACCTAAGTACTAGGTTAGGTACCTAGGTATCTGTTAAAAGACACTTAGCTTCAATTCTTAAGCTTCAATAAATTCGGCCTCTCAGATAATTTCCAATGATTTTTCTGTGGACGTTTATAAGTCTCTAGGATGAGACAGGGTAGCACGGCTCTAAGTGGGGTTATTTAACCCAGTATGGCTAATAAGTAACTTTGAATATAAATTTATATTTAAGAGTACAAGACGTTAATGGAAATGACAACTGAATGACTGAATCTATTCCCACGATATAAAAGTTCATTGTTTTGTAGTCTTCTATATAAATTTGTATGTAAAGCTACGTATTAGCCATACTGGGTTAAACACAACTTAGCGCCGTGCTACCCTGTCTCATCCTAGAGACTTGTAGAAAACTGATTATCTCGACTGTTACTTAATGTAGCCTTGTCGCACTCTGTTTGTATCGTCTAGAATATACGCGTTACTTGGTATTGATACCGCAATATGTAATAATTGCCCATAAAAATATTAGTTGATTTAGAAGATACGGTATCTCAATCGAGGGATCACTCATTACTATGAATGTTAAACAGTAAAGAATATCTTATCTAGTATGACCCGAGCCTCGTAAGAGAAACTAGCATTCATCGAAAAAATATAATTGGAAAGATACTGTTCTGTTGTATGGACGGTTCGACTGAACCTGAGATATGACCAACTCTTTCCGTTATCTCATAGTTCACTACCCAAATCTCACGGATAGTATATAACATAATACATTGCCTATTTTACCCAGAAACACAAATTTAAGTTCTCCAACTACCAGCCATCTCCCTAAGCCACTAATAGTTGGCAGGTATAAACCTACCAGAAGGACCGGCTAGATCAACACCGAAGCGAGTTGCGAAGTAATGGTATATAACCATTTAGCCAATTGAATCGAATTACTCGATCTTCTTGCTGCGACTCATGATAAGCAGCACCTCAGGAATGACAACAGCCATCCAGAGGAGACCAAGGACGAGGCCAGCTGCGAAGATCTTGGCGTATAGCTTGACAAGTCGGATCCACGAGGCACGAGGGAATGACTGCCACGCATCCTTAATTGTGACAAAACCCTTGCCGCCAACAATAGCAGGCTCTACCTTACCCTGGAACGAACGGTCGAAAGGCACGATGGTGTCATCCTCATCGGGAAGAAGGGAAGCCTGGACTCGGGTAAGGATGACCTGGGTAGGGATGACAAGGAAGATGTTCATGACAAGAGCCAGGAGAAGAACTAGGACCGCCTTCCAGATGTCATTCTTATCGCCCTCAGGAATAACACCGGGCCGCTTGGGGTCGGGCAAGTTCATGGACATGCCGTACGCAAGCATCTTGGGGACAAATGCAGAGAGCTCCTTGGCAAAGAAGAACATGACGACCGGTAGCGCAGTAGCCTGGAAGGCCTTCTTGAAGGGAGGCAGACGCTGCCAGAAAGTCTTGGAGCTTGGCGCGGAGATGACGATATGTGTCCATGCCGTATATACCTGTACGAGAGCCACGGCAGAAATCGGAGCGGCAATAAGAGAAGGCACAAACGTGCTAGATAGGATACCGAAGATGACGCTGCTCGAGAAAGTCAAGGCAAAGTAGCAGGCTAGACCACGGAATAGGGAGCGGAAACCGCTAATCGCGGTTAGAGTGCGGTAGGTTGAACGGACGGATGAGGTGATGAGGCGGGCCTGGGAACCACCGCGAGCAGCTTCATCGGCGACGGGGGCGTTCTCTTCGGCGAGGGATTGGGCATCATCGTTCAGCGAGACGGGCTCGTAAGCCGGAGGGGACGGATCCTCAACGATGGCAAGTGTAGGGAACACATGCTGGAGGGTATAGTTGACCTGATGAAACGCGTTAGCTGGGTTAACTTTTCTCGAGTGGTGTATCGCAGGTGGCATACCGTCATGAACAAAGGCAAGAATACTATGATATCGAGTAGTATGAGGCCCCAACCCCAACCGGGCATCTCGTAGCCTCCCATCGAGGATTCACCCCGCTTGTAAACCGCGTGCGCAATGTCGCGATACATTTTGGATTATCTGTATTTTGAGCAGACGAAATAAAACAGAGACAAGATGAACGATAACAAGTACAAAATTGTTGGACTAGAAGATGATTCGAAGAAAAGAGCGATAATAAATGTTATATAAAATTGTATGAAGGGGGGAAGGTGTATGAAACGAAGAATAAAGAGCTGAAAACTTCCTGACAATTGTTCGAGTGAGAGATGCAAGTCCTAGTAGAGCATCTCAAGGCGGGATGAGGCAAAGACAGTATATTTACGTATTAGCACTGTGGGAGATGATAAGTTACGGGTTAGTGCTCGTTACCGTGAGGCTCAAGGGCGCTAGGAAAGCAATCCAATTTAGTACACCTCAGCGCCTTATGGTAACTAGAAACAGGCAGATAGCCGTGACCTACGTACAGTGCTTGTAACAATCGCTATCTTCGGAACGCCGGCAGCACAGTGGGTCGCTTACGTTGGAGGTCCCTATCGCTAAGGTAGGTACTTTTGCAATCTAGGCAACCGCCGCCCCCAGATCGTAAGGTATCAGGCTTTGCACTGCCTCACTACATACATCTAAAGTGCGCCTAACACGACGGCAATTGCACATATACAATATACATGGTCTGATGGTACGCATTATGTCCTTATCGCGTCGCTTAGCTTCCTGGATTTTCCAAAAGCCGCGTATTAGATTCGAGCCCATCTATTCTATCTGTTGCGCGGGGCTGTTACAGTAGAGCCAAACCTGCGTATTGCGTATGATTGGATAAAGGCCGAATCTTCAGTCCTGGAATCTCCTTTAGCGCCATTACATCACAACCAACAAGTTCTCAAAACCCGAACCAATCTGTCGCATCCAAACATCATCTACGCATTAGGTGCAGCGACGATATAAACTGGTGTACATGTCTGCCCCGTCTATCCCAAATCTCCTCTCTCTCCGAGGTTCGAGAGGGGGGCATCGTGGCCGTGGTCGAGGACGAGGGGGTCACTCACATTCTACCGGCCTCAGCCACGATGCTACCATTCAAGGTACAGATACGGATGCTGCTGTGTCACGTATGAGCGCTGTTGATCTGGGTTACCTACAAGATCCTTTCGCACGATATTTCGTGCAGTCTGTTGGTGGCATTGTTAGAAGACTGCCTATTATAAATCGAGGTAAGAAGTCCGAAGGCCATTTCCGGTCTAGCGAGTGCTAAGGCTGTGGTAGGGACTTATACACGGACTACTGCATTGGATCGACTGGTATCTTCCTTCTTGTTGGGCACCGCAACGCAAGAAAGACAAATTATCTCACTCGGTGCGGGTACAGACACAAGGTGTTTTAAGCTCTTCTCTCAACCCAGCCAGACCAGCCTCATCTATCATGAGATCGATTTCCCCACAATCGCTTCTAAGAAGCTACAGCTCGTGAATGCTGCACCTCAACTCAGGTCCATCATCCCTAACCCACAGAATGAGAAGGACGGCTGGAGTAGTTCAAATCTACCGAATGGTTGTCAATATTGGTGCCACGGATTGGATCTGAGAGCCTTGCTCAATAGTGACACAGAATCTCTCAGTGGCATCCGGACAGATATTCCGACACTGTTAGTGTCAGAATGTTGTCTATGCTATCTAGAAACTTCAGAAGCCCAAGGCGTAATTAAGTATTTCACCGAAAAAATATCAGATCTTGCCATCATCGTCTACGAGCCAATTCACCCCGATGATTCCTTCGGCAAGCAGATGGTATCGAATTTGGCTGCGCGACGGATACACATGCCAACACTAGACTCATACCAGGACTCTGATAAGCAGCAATCCCGATTAAAAGAAGCCGGGTTCCAGCTTGCGACGAGCTTGACCATAAGAGAAATATGGCGGAAATGGGTCACGGAAGAAGAAAAAGAAAGGGTTGATAGTCTGGAGGGGTTAGATGAGGTTGAAGAATGGGATCTTCTAGCGGACCATTACATCGTGGCTTGGGGCTGGAGAGGCACTGGTTTTCAAAGATGGGAAACCGACCTGTGATGAATATGAGCTAACGAGTATGCCGATACATCTTAGCCATGGGAAATATACGATTGATGTGAAATAAAACGCAATCTACTTCTTTGAAGAAAGGACCACGGAAATATCATGATAAATGATTTAAAATTCCGGGACTAAAGTGATTTCCCTAGAAATATATAATTACATGTGTATTAATAGAGAGCAGTGACACAATTCGGTTACGTATAAATAATAAATGTACTTGAACGTACATGGTGTAATTTTATGAGTTTCCCCAGAGTTGAAGTTCTACATGTACCTAGGAGGTACGTATGCAATTCACATTTAGCGTCCATTATTAAGGTTAGTTAGTGGCTTGGCTTATCAAACTTTGGGAGCCTATCAGATTACGTCGGCATTTAGCTCTCATCGTTTGCGCATTGATGATTGAACAACTTTGGCTTTACGCTCTACCCAACAGAACAACATTCATCCACAAACATAATCGCATCTCTTGCGTCATCCGCAGATCAAGCCATAGTATATTACGGACCATTACATTCAATCGAGAATCCTTTATTTATCCATTAAGACTGCTTATACGCCACGACTGCGTATCGTCGCTTTCAGTCAAAATGGCGGACAACAGCAAGCAGCATAAGTATAGGCAGGAGATTCAGCAGATGATGTACGTCTCTGGTGAGACGGGAGAGCCTTCTGTTGAGACTACTACTATAATCGAGGAGATTGTTCGGCAGCAAGTGATTGAAATGCTGCGAAGCTGTACTGAATTGGCTACGCGCCGTGGCTCCCGATCCATCACTATTAATGACCTGATATTTCAAATCCGCGACGATGCGCCTAAAGTTTCACGTCTTAGGACCTTCTTATCATGGAAGGATGTTCGCAAGAGCGCCAAGGATTCCGACGACAAAGGCGGAGAAGCCGATTTGGGTGTTGCTGATGACCCTGCCGGAGCCGTTATGCCTGGTGGCCCCGCAGTAGAAGAGGCCGCTAAGAAAAATAAGAAGGCCAAAGTTAAGCTCCCTTGGGAGCCTTCCTCGTTCTATAGCCAGGAAGTCCCGGAACGCGACGACGAGGAGGACGAGGAAGAAGAGGAAATGAATTACATCACACTTCAACGACTGCGCAAAGCCGACGAGCGGACAAAGGCGATGACTAGGGAGGAATACGTCACATGGTCCGAATATCGACAGGCATCATTCACATACCGAAAGGGCAAGCGATTTAGGGAGTGGGCCGGTTTTGGTATCGTAACAGACAGTAAGCCCTCAGATGATATCGTCGATATCCTGGGTTTCTTGACCTTCGAGATGGTCCAGACGCTCACGGAGGAGGCGCTCAAGATCAAGGAGCAAGAAGACCTATGGAAGGAACGGAGCGGTGGCGATAACCCAGGCACCAAGAAGCGGAAGCTCACCCAAGGATTGTTCGATCTACCCAGTGAGGGTAGGATCCCCGTTGAAGCGCGCCACATTCAAGAGGCTTTTCGGAGACTCCAGACCCGGCCGAAGAGATCTCGGGCTATGCTGAACGGGACAAACCTACAGCAGAGAACCAACCTGAAGTTATTCTAATGGATTCACGGAGGGGAGCAACATCCAGTTACGCTCCTAGTCCGAATCTTCTCCAAGTTTATCAAAGTTTACGGGTTTATGAGTTTAATTCATAGCGAATGCGGAAGACCAGCGACAACGGAAATGTCCTTGTGAGGAATACCCAGGAGGAATGGCGTTTTAGGAGCTCCGATTTTTATTTACAACTTTTTAATGCGTTCAGATATGCGCTCTTCTCTGACGGATTATTCCGTATGGGCGGTGAAATCATCATTACTCGGTAGACTTGGAATAAATGTCTTTTGCAAAACTATCGACTATATTACTTCTAGATCCGCGACATGAAAGAAGTATTGAATAATTCACATATACTACTCATATTAGACAAATACCCAACGATCCGGGCGAGTGAACAATCCAAGTTATCCATTATAACAATAGCGTATTATTTATGACTTCTTTACTTTCAATACAAGGACGGCCAGCTAACATATAACTCTAGATACACTATCTTGTTTAGCCCCTTATGCACTTCAACAATTCAAATGAGTCCCTTTTATGCTTACGCCGACAACGGCGGGGAGCCACGGCATCCGGCATCGCGATCGCTAATATAGTGGGGATCAATGGTCCGGCAGAGTTCCGTCGCGGTTTTTAAGTCCCGCAAATGCGGCGTCATTCGTCCGATTACGTCCCTCTTCTCATCCCTTTTTTCTCTCTTTTCCCTTAAATCCATGTTTTCCCTCAGACTTCTTGGGGGAAAATAAGAAAGCCAACTTTTGCGTACAGCGATAGACTAGAAATTAGAATAGATACCTTACTCATTTATACTCCTTACTTATTTATTTACTTACTTTAGGTACTTACTTACTTACTCCCTCCCAATTACGTTATGGCGCCCAATTCCCGTCTCATCCTCACCCGTCACGCTCAGGCCGAGCATAATGTCGACCTAGACTACAGCAGTGAGTCGCGCTCCTCGCACGACAAGCCCAGATCCGAAGACTGATTTAAACATCTCCACAAAGTCCACGATGCACCACTTACGCCTCTCGGCAAGAAACAAGCCGCGTCACTGCCCCGTCTAATCCCAGACCTACAGAACGAGGCCGACGTAGTCATCTCGTCGCCTCTACGGCGCACCCTGCAAACCACGTACCTGGGCTGGGCGCCGGCCGTCGAGCGTCTAGGTGGGCCGAAAAAAGTGGTGCTCCTACCTCAAGCGCAGGAATGCAACGCCCTCCCGTGCGACACGGGCTCGGCGAAAGAGGTCCTCGAGGCGGACCCCGAGTTCGCGGTGTTTGATCTTACGCCGCTGACGCCGGATTGGACTAGCAAGAAGGGCTTCTGGGCCCCGAGCGAGGAGGCGCTGACGGCGCGCGCTCGTTGGGTTCGTCAGCATCTGCGTGGCAGGACTGAGAGGAATATCGTGCTTGTTGCGCATGGCGATATTCTTAGGCGGATTACGGCGCATCCGCGGACGGGGCCTAGTGATTGTAAGTAGAGCGAAGTTTTTGTTGTTGTTCACCCCCTTTGGGTCTGTCTCGGGAATCGGGATTTTCTTAGTGAAAATCGCTTTGAGGGACTGACTCCTGAAATGTGACTAATCAACTTTACCTATTGGTTGATTGCTTGAAGTATTTACTGACTTTGTTTGATATAGACCCCTGGAAGAACGCCGAGGTACGGATCTTCGAGTTTGACCCGCAGTACGTCGATACCGAAGAGTGCTTCCTATACCAGAAAGAAAATGTCGCAGCTGCTGGCGGCTACGGGCCGACAAGCACGGAGCTAGAGATTGGGCAAGTCGAGGGAAGACTATAGAGGTTTTAACGATCGGACGGCTACGAAGAATCGAGGTGGTTAGCTGTACTACTTCGACTTAGACTCCCATATTCAGATTAGATGATAGAATATAGATGACTTTGATTCCAATAAGGGGCTACACTACGTGAGTCACTGATTTTGAATTCGGATTGTGGTAATATTCTCTTACTGTACTGACTTTGTTGGAATTCATCCTGAAAACATCTTCTCGTTCATGATTATAAGCCGTCCTAGCAATGGAAGCAGCAGACGTCGTCTGAATACTTTATTTCATCTCAAGTGAGCAACAGTAACGTATTAACCAAAACACAGACATCACAAGATATTCGTTAAATAACATCTGCTCAAAGCAATATACGCCTTATAAATGTCTGCCATCATTCCAACCCGTCCTCGAGGCTTTCTCACAACAGCGATTCCTTCTTTTCGATTCCTCATCTCTGGTATTGTAGCTCGACGTACAACGACCATGGTCAGACTCAACCCGTCGGCATGGTACCCCTACACAGATATTATCAAAGTATACTCCACGGAAGATGATAGTCTCGTGGTCTGGACGAATCCACGACGTATCCACCTGCACGAGAAGACCTCGTCGGGGGTTACCGTTTGCTGCGAATCCTTCACTGCAGGCGGCATCGTGGAAAACCCGGTCGGCACACTGCATTTCCTAACTTCCGACCGGTTCGTGCCCGCAGACGTAGAGCCGCATATGGATACGAACGATAAGACCTGCGCGTGTGTTGGATATGTTCAGCATACAAGCCGGACGCTTCATTACACCCTAGTCGCTATCAGTGATGCCGTGGCGGACAGAGAAGCAGCTAGGCAAGCAAAGATACTTGGCTGCGTGCCTGCATCAATGCAACAGATACAAGAATTCACAATGCACCCTGCCATGCTCAAGGATCTCCACAGGAAGCATAGCTTAACCCTCCTTGCTCGCACCCGGCACAATCTGGCCATCGAGGGGCACATTACAGTCCTACCGCGCAAAGCAATAGACCCATCATGTCCAGGCTCCAGGCTGATCCTCGCGCAATTCGATCCTTCCCTTGGTTATCTAGATGAGGGCATGTGGGTGTATGCCAGACAACCAAGCGCTAAGATGCTGGACAGTAAGACGAACGAGACGCTCGCGAAGCCGGCTAGTAGACCGTACCATTCCGAGACGTTCCGTTACCGGTATAATTTCTCCCACTCCAACCGGCCCACCTATACTCTCCGCATAGTAGGACATATCGTGGAGGTGCGCGGCCGCGATCCGAGTGGACGTGTGGAGGTGGCGATCCAGTGCTCACACGAGATATTGACTGAGATATCTATCCTGAAAGACTGGCTGGATAATCCGGATGGCGGCAACCCTCCACCCACGTATTTCGGATGAATGGGTGCTCAAGGCTGGGGAAAATAAGGCTGTGGGTTCGGAGGCAATGCTGGTTTCGTCTGGCAAGGCTCAACTTCTAAGGGGGCACCACACATAAGGCCTAACAGTTAGGTATTTGGCGTGATTACACTAGAGGTTGCCCCCCGGGCAACACAAAAGCCTAAGGTTTACACCGCACCATGCTTCTATACTATTTTTATTATTATTATATTAGCAACCTACTCCCTATTAACCTGGAGGGCATCCCTATTATAGCCCGAATTTATTGCTATTACACAGTTGAACAATACTATTGGACTAATCGGATTAGATAATAATCTGTTTTGCACGAATACCTATATAGATGCGTTTCTCTCGTTAAGCCGCATCTATCTCGATGTTACGATTATGCATTATTAATACAAGAGTCTCCCTTATTGCTATATTGTATCTTTTCTTTTGCCCCCCCCTTCCCCCTACTTTTAATCCATACCCTTGAGACCTAAGTAATAAAGAAGCTTTAAATAAATGCATAAATTTATTCTTTTCATATTTACTGCTTTATAAAGTAAGGAAATTATCTATAAGGTAGTAAGGCATGTGTCCCAAATAGGAAAATTTTACTCGCATTCAACACAACATCCTAAGGTAAACCTTAGGCATACCTTTAATTGACCATACATCTTGGACGCGTAGGTAACTAAAATTAGTAAAGCCCCTTTTCAACCTGTCTATCTAGAAGAGGATATATTTTACGATTCTGGGTCACATAACAACCGTAAACTTCTATCAACATATTTAATACCTATCCTATTATTATAATCTGCAAGCAGCCGAGACGCACATACGCGCTGTACTTTGTCGAGGCCCCTTCAAATTTGGTGAAAGTAGATGTCTAGGTACATAATTGTCAGGCGTTACAGAACAATGCAGCAAGCCATAGGTGCAATATTTCATACCTACATCGTGCGGCAGAGAAGTTACTAATACGTGGCCTACTTAAGAGGTAGGTATAAACGAGCTGTAGGTAACCCCAATAGCAAATTGTAGCGAAAGGTCTGACAAGTACAACCACATAGCTTAATAACTTAGTCCTGTTTACGAGGAAACCTGTCGAACAAACCGCTATGCCACTAAAAGGTTATTTGGTAATAGATTTTATTCTATTATGTTTTATATCGGACAGATAGAATATCTGACAAAACCCTGTAGCTTTCCTATCACATCGTGTTGTCCATTTATCTCCCCTAAATATACCATGCTATCTCTTAGCCTTTCCCTCCTTATACTATTCGATAGGTATTGGATCATCATGGCAGACGATTCCGCCAACATTATCCGCCATGATCTCGAAGAACATAAAGACAACTCAACAGCCTTAAAGACAATAATTGCACCACCTTGGGTCTCGCCGCAGAATATTCGCAGCACCGACGATATTTTATGGAGTTGTATCCTAACTCTCACGGCATGTATTTACACCGCGCTTCACTTAAACATATCCCGCAAACCGTGTCTGAAGAAGCGGCTATGGTCCAAAGTTAGATGGGTCTTCATCGCAATTATCGCACCAGAGGCTGCGGTATACATGGCATTTTCCCAGTGGCTTGAGGCGCGACAACTCGTGAAGAAACTCAACGAAGAAAGGAAAAGGGAAGAAGAGATAAATAATAGAGATGTTAGACTTCACCCAATAGCTACCGAGTTGTTGACTTATTAAGAAATAGGTGCCCCCGAAATTTGGCTTAACTTATGGCTTTTTTATTGTCATGGGTGGTCTGCGGGTTTCATACGACGATACAGCTAACGATAACGGCAACGATGGGACATGTAACCCATGGACGCCCTCAGACAACCAAACGGAGTATTGGTCTCAGCCCAATAGCACCAAGACTTTATCACCTGAAGCGGTGGTTGCTCTTGCTAAAAATGGCGTGTTCCTCTATGTATCGGAAGAGAGCATTGCTGACAGAAGCAAAGCAGACTCGATACAGAAGGCTTTGGTTGTCTTGCAAGTCTCGTGGATGTTTTTACAGTGTGTTGCAAGGAAAGCATACCAACTACCACTAACACTACTAGAGGTTCATACCATGGCACATATTCTTTGCGCAGGGTTTATGTACGCATGTTGGTTCAAGGTAGGTACCTCGTCGCTCCTTTTCTAGTCTAGGAACTCGATAGTAACGCACTATAACTTCCATAGAAACCGCTAGACGTGTTCAGTCCTGAAGTCCTAAGATATTCCAGCTTCAATAACCTCCCTCGGACGTCAAATTTATCATCATCATTAACTTCTCAGAATACTTGGAACATTCTTACTCTTCTGTTATTTGAAGATATGACTAGGCATTCCCGCAGCCACCCGGATAATCTACCGGTATTCCTACCTCTAGAAGCTACATGCCGCCAGGGAAATAATGGCGATCCCACTATTAAACCGGATGAGCAAGACGTTGAAAGAACTGTGTCAACAATAGAAGTTGGTTCCAGATTCGGCGAGGAGGACACTATCCTTTTACAACAAGGAGAAGTCCTCCCAATCCAATACCAAAGCGGAGACTTTCTAGCAAGCCACTTACAACCAAATGGACTCATTCCCTGCGGATTCCAACTCAATTCAATAAATCCAGGCGGTCAGGTTATATCTCGCAAGGACTACTTGATGCTACAGAGAGTAGTTGCCGCGATGAATGCAATCCAGGGGGGTCCGATATCAGCCCCAGTAGGGTTTCCCTACAATATATTAATCAACAACGAGCCTACAAGCCCTCCGGGTGACTCTGAAGACCCACCGGACCGGTTGTCAATACTCGGGGATCGGTCAAACTTATTTGGCGACGCGACGATAATAACCATTACTAAAGCAATATTCCCTGTTGAACTAAATCCGTATACATTCGCAGGAATTCATGCCCTCCCGGGGATATATGGTGCTATCCATTTACCAACTATGAACTCCGAGTTCCCTTCCGATTCCGAGTGGTTTATATGGAAGCTTTCTTGTCTTGTTATCATGGTACTACTTCCATGCGCAATACAAGGGGAACTTTGTCTAGGCCTGTATGTATATGAATCGGTAAAGAGACGAATTACTATGATACTTTTGATAACCATCACTATCGCCCGGATCTATATCATCGTCGAGGCTTTCATCAGTCTGCGTCATGTGCCGATTGGAGTTTACCAGACTCCCGCATGGCTTTCGAGTAAGTAACCCCCCTTTTATACTTTCCCCATTCCAGTACTCATTTTTTGCAAATTCTATTCTGGAGGCGACACGATCTAAGTACCTCGTACCTCCTGCTCCGATTTTACCCAAGCCTGTAGCTACTAACGAGGAATATAGTAATACCCCATGTTTAATAAAGGCAATGGCTCGGCTTTCGAAGTGTGGTGTTGCTTTACGAGCGAATATCAGGGAAACGACCACGTTATTATGTGAAGGGCTAGCGACCCAGCATATACCTCTGCATGCCGCCCCTTTGTTTTGGATATCTTCGGGATCCCAGGGGTAAACATTTCAATAAGCAAGAAATCTAAGGTTTCATCTATATATGATGTGCGGTTTAATGGCGGAGAGATATAACGCAATTACCTGTAACTGTGTTGGGGATGAATGCAGGGTTAGCTATGCCACCCTATTTACACACCCATTTAGACAGATAGCTAGAACTTACTCTCCTAGTCATACAAGATACTATCACTATTCGGTGACTCCTGATACGGCGTGTACCCGATGAAATATATTCGAGCACATTCATAGTACCTATCGTAAATCGGGATTATCGATGGGAACCAGATTTCAACACCTGAATCAACCCAAAATCTAACCTCGTGTCCCTCTAACCTTAATATAACACACCTCATCCTTTCAACCCCTTCAACAGGTAGGTTTCGCGTAAGGAATCGTTCCGGTTACTCTTAAATCTTAGTGGTCAATTTCGTGTTAAGAATAATGTACCTTGTGTGATAAATTAATATGGCCCCATGATTACATCAACTCCTTTTACCTATAACCGTGAAATAAGCTAATCTCGAAGTTGCGCGTTATACCTCCTTACCCTTACCCAACGTAGTCACAACCAACCCCGAGTACAGTGTCAAAGGCTGCGCCGGCTTGACAACTGGCCGCTTCCCCTTAGGATCATCTGTATTCCTCCTGCGCCTAGATAACCTCTCGCGCTGCCTCTCCTCCATCCGCCTCGTCATGACCCGCTGCAAGCTCATCGGCAGATCCTCCGGTATCTCGCCTCCTCCGCGGCCACCGTCCGCAGCACCGTCGCCGCCGCCTCCCCAGAGACTATTTGACCGGTGTCTTAACCCAGTACCGTCTCCCGTGTCTATGCCAGCAGCCGTGCCGGTAGCAGCGCCATGAGAAGGCATCGTGCCGAGCGTGAAGCGCCGCCTCCTGCGCACGGGGTTGCTGCCACTCCGGCTTCTAATCTTCTGGGCTTCCTGTGTCTCCGCTTTGGCGGCTTCTGCCGCGGCTGTATTCCGATTTGACTCGCGCTCCTTGATCTTCTTGACGTACTCATAGAACTTGGGGCGTTCCAGCATTCCGCTCCGGAACGCGTTAACCCCGACCAACATTTTAGCAAGGTCTACCAGCTCTTCTAGATATTCAATGATCTCCACTATGTCATGGTCAGTACATCTAATTAAAAGCACTACAGGTTTATGCAGAGGCCGAGCAATTTGGCGTATAAGGTAGTAGGAAAAGGGGTGACGGTGATTCCGAAGGACTACTTACTAATAGCGGCGGAGCTGGCGTTCCAGGCTAAGAAGTTTTGCCGAGTCATCGATTTCAAGACATGTGCGTGGAGAGGGTTAGATCCACTCCTCGTAGTAACCGGAGTCTGGACGCCGGAGTTATTTCCGTTATTTCCTGACTTAATGTTTCGCTCAAGCAGGAGCTCGCGGACTCGGCCGATGTACCGTAGTTGTGCCACACGACTAGATGGAAGGAATTGTGGGAGAGGTAATCGGGTCGTCAAGGCTTCGTGAAGGGCGAAGAGTATGAGCATTATACTGGCCGCCACGTTACGACGGTAGGGTAAGACTTCCCTATTTAGCTCCTCAAGCACGCTGCTCCCATAGGCCTTGCGGATATGCAACATATTGTCCATGCGGTCGATTATTTGAAATAGGACATAGATCATCTCGCCGTAGATCAACGATTGCCCCTTAAAACTTCCCTTAAGCCTCGGCTCCGTGAGACAAAAAGGTAAGAAAGTGCGGGCGGCAGCAAGGGCCTGTTCGGCCTTCTCCTTGGCGTCCTCGAAGTTCTCGTTGAATGCGCTGGATTTGATATCGATATTTCGAGGCGAGTCTATGCCTACAGCTATCGATGCTTCCATGTGCGATATCTGCTGGATACTCGAAGCTAGGGACTCGACAAGCCTGTCTCGGGCTCGGACGGGGAAAAGGAACATTTCGACGAGAAGCGCAATCGTCCCACCGACGAGGAAGCATACCATTCGTTTGACAAATACCTCCCACGCATTTTCTCCACGTGGTTTCAGTATTGATGCTAATAGCTTGTTAGAATTATAGGTAGGTTCGGGTGTGATGATAAAATGGCTACTTACCAAGCCCAACCACCGACATACTAACCATGGAAATAATGCCCGTTTTTTTGTATGGTGTACCGAGATGGATGTAAGTTGATGGTATGATGCCAAATACGAGAACAACTACAGCGACGATTCGGTTTCCTCGTCCAATTTCGTAAGCAAGATATCCAACAACACAGCCAAAGATGACCCCGAAAGTCCTTAGAAAGAACCCCTGAAATGACGTCCCTATTGAGACTTCGAAGACGAGAATTAGCTGAAGAGACGCCCAAGTTCCACGAACAGAATTATACCATGCTATCTGATTATTAGTTATTATTTTATTACGTTTTGAGATGACATAATTACCATTCAATGATGGCACGAACGCCGGCCACGTAATGATATATGCTGCCACACACATTTTAAGGGCAAAGGCGAGATCATCGGAGTTGAGAAGGAACTCAACCGCATCAGCAGCCAGTCCACGTAGCCACATAATTATACTCGTTTCGGACTTTTGGGGAGCTTTTCGCATCGGGATCTTGCCTTTCGGGATATTGCCTTTCTCGGGGACTGTAGGTTGCTTCGAAATAGCGTGACCTGTTTCTTCATCCTCGGTACGTCTAAGCGGTTGCTCTTCAACGTCACCCGTGTCATCGTCGCGTCTTCTGGGATCTTCCCTGATACCGTGGCCAGTCCTTGCCTCCTTCCTCGCATTCTCCGGAAGAGTGTTTATGTCAATTTCGCCGCCACTTGTGAGCCACTTCTTCCAACCAATTTTAGGCCAGTAGAGCCGTCGACGGTCGTGTCGTGCTTGTCTTTTCTCAACAAGAGCTCTAGAATGTCTCATCATCTCGCTTATCTGGGTAGCTGCATGCCGTACGCTAATTAGGAACGACGCGATTAAATGTGTTTCCATCTTCGGTGTAATATCATCCTATAGGTAAATAGTTGGTTAATATAAAATACGATCGCTGAAATAATGAATAATCATCGCGGACATACCCGTGAATTCCGACCATACTCTATAGAGGCTGCGTTCTCCAGAGCCGCGGCGGAATCGCGGTCAAACTGCGTCAACGCTTCCACAAACATATTGATTCTGAGATCAATTTCTTCCATGCTGATCCCCTTAGGAGCTGGGGCGCCCGATGGGAGGTTTGGCACATCGTAGCAATAAGCCAATGCGCAGATTATGAAATGAACAGCAGCTTGTATCTGATGTTGGAAGCTCTTGGTCGGGCCACGAATCTGACTGAGAATATGCTCAAGAAGTTCGATGTCGCCAGACTCTATTTCTCGAGTTGGTTTAACAAGCTCGAGTTTCCGTGCATATTCAGATTTTTCCCGTGACTTTTTAGTCTCGCGTTCCGACTTATCGTCGCTACTATCGCTCTCCGACTTGCTATCCGAGTCGGAATCAGATTCCGATTCGGAGTCTTCGTCGTCGGATTTTTTTTCGCCCGGCGCATCTTGCTCGTTCTCTTCATCTTTATATCCTGCTAGTGCATATTTGCTCTCGCAAGCATTGATAAGACAGATGGTTACTTGAACAAGACGCGACATCAAAATCATACTGATAGGCTTCAAAGACCGCGGAGGGAGGACCGTATAAACCAGCTCAAAGTTACACTCTGCTTGAGCTTTCTTAGAGCTATCGAGCTGAGCCCTTAACTTTTCTTTCTTTTCGGTTAAGGCTATGAGCCTAGTACGTAAAGCCGTTGAGGCTTCCTTCTCCTTTTCGGCGTCCCCGCCATCCGAGTTCCTGGTATCGGACATGAACCAATCTCCAGCCTCTTGGAAAGAATCAATGGTGGCACATAATGATTCTATCGTAGATTTACCTAGGAACCCACTCGAGAATTCGGGGAAGATGCTAATGTTTACGAGGATGATAACACCAACCGCTGTAAGAATGGGGTACGTAATACTTGTAACGATACGAGTTGATACGGATGTGGTAGTACTTGTTAAGATGGTGATGTTGACGAGCAGGAACCAATATACAAACAGAAATAGCCTCGGTGTGTAAGAACGTAAAAAACCATGAAGTATCAGTGCTAAGGTAAAGAATATAGCCCTGATGGTCCAAGCTGCTTGAATATTGGTATGATAGACAAGGCTCGCAAGATATAGGCCTAAGATACTCCAAGCGATCCCGACGAAAGTGCCGAGGATAATGAGCATCAAGACTTCAGTCATCTGGCCAAACCGCTGCCCAGGATGCCCAAATACCGAGGCCATAGCGCCGAGATGTGTCGACTGGCCGTATACAGCAACTACTGCTGGGATAAGCCCGATGATCAAGTTGATAGTGAGGCATACGGTGTTCTTGATCATTCTCTTCCAGAGATTGTTCTTCTGGAGATTCGACTTGACCGTACCCTTCCATTGCTGAAGTTGTCGCTGAAGCTTCTGCTTCCAAAGCTGGATTATTGCCATGGCTGCTGCGATGATTCCAAGACGAAACCCACCGGTAGAGGATATTTCGATCCAGGCATGGTAATGAAGCTAGAGCCGGTCAAGTTAAAGTAGGGCAAGTTAACGTTACTAAATTGCTCAGGACTTATACTCGTGACTTGGTTAGTATAACGTATTGGCTGTGAAGGTGTGTGTAAAGGTGTGTATCTAAAGGATGTAAGTAGTATAGCTGAATAATTTAGTGGTACAGAAAACAACGGCGTGCTCCTAGCATTACTCAATTGGGCTTGGCACTCTACGAATGATGTCATCCCGAAACAAGCAAAAACGTCCGATCTTGCACATGTGCTGTTGCACTTGCAGGGGTAGCTGAGCTCTATTCGTACTAAGGACATGTATTGTACAGTAACTAGAATAACAGCTTATATATAGTACGATAATAAGTACTGAATACTTCTTCGATCGCGGGGTTCGCGTATGCAAGTATCAAGAACAACAACCTTTTCTCAAATTGCATGTTGCTTTGCTGCCAGTCTGCCAGTGAGATGTTTAGCGTCAACTTCTAGAGACTTCCATACCTTCAGTAATACTACCACTTTGTTGAAGTCCGCCAGCCTTCGGGCTGTGTACCGTCGAAATGGCTCCATCAGTAAATCTGACTGTAAGGCTCTTCTTGTATTGCTTGATCCCATAGCTGGGAAGTCGTCCGTTTACAACACCTAGATAGCTAATGAACTACTTGAACCTGTAGACGAAGCTGAAGGTCCAGCTGAAGCTATCCATTGCACGGCTGCGCATGGTGCAGCAACGCGATGAAGCTATGGGGAAGACCCAGAGAAGGTCAATGGCCCAATTACTAGAGGTTGGTAAGATCGATTCGGCCAAGATAAGAGTCGAGAATATTATTCGATCCGATATCACCACAGAACTCCACGAGATCCTTGAGCTTTATTGCGAGTTGCTACTGGCGCGGGCTGGCCTCTTAGAGGGTAGCATATGTGATCCTGGACTGGAAGAGGCAGTGAAAAGTATCATATACGCTGCCCCCAAAACCGAGATCAAAGAATTACAGCAGGTACGCGCACTTTTAGGGGAGAAGTATGGTAAGGAGTTCGTGTTGTCAGCTATGGAAAATTCAGATCAGAAGGTCTCAGAAAAGGTCGTCAAGAAACTCAGCGTCACTCCGCCCCGAGATGAGCTTGTCCAGGGTTATCTAGAAGAGATTGCAAGGGCGTATGGAGTCAACTGGCCGAGGCGAGCTAAGGATTTGGGGGAACCGCCGGAATTCGTGGACGACGACACGAGAGATAGCCCAAGCGGTGGCCAAGCACAGAAGGCCACGGGGGCAGCTCTTCCTGCCGAAAGCAAGGCCGCGCTGGAAAGGGAAGCGCTGAGCCGCGCAACACCTCCTCGATCCCTAGGTCTGGATACCCCCGTACATGTTAATCCACCAAGTCCATCCACCGATAACCCTCGCCCTAGAGTCACGCTGAACTCGGTGGAACTGAAGCCCAGTCAGAAGATGATTGATGCTGGGATATCAAAGAACAGCGATAGTAAGAAGGATGGGACGAGTGTTGATGAACTAACAGCTCGCTTTGCTGCTCTAAAGCGTTAATATTCCTAAATACCTGGCACTGGATCTTTTGAAATCCCGGGAAGATATCTTGCTCTCTGTTCGAGCCGTCCTGTTCCTCGGTTTTATCTTATGGTTCATCCCTGATCAAATAACATAGTTATCTTATAGCGAACCTGCTAACAACATCACTACGTGTGCTCAAATACATCAATACTAGTTCCAAGGTGTTGTTGTTCTAGGTGCTCGATCCATTCTACACCACAGTTGCTATATATGAGTTAATAGTCGAGTTAAAGCATTTAGGTAGCCAAGATCCATACCCCAGAGTAAGATATCTAGGTGTTTGGGCGAGTGTTTTATACACGGCGTAGGGGATATAGTACATACCTAGGTACGTATACATGTAGGGATCGGCGCAGACGTGAGTAAAAGCACAAAGATAGATACATGTACATAAGGAAGTATTCAATTGCACACCTACATGCAGGCAGTTACCCAGTCGATTAGTTGTTTATATGTGTGGAGTATCTGCTATACTGTCCTAGGCAGTTACCCAGGAGGTAGTTACACCAGGCATATGAATCGAACATAGTTCCTACCTCTTCTTCAGTTCTATGGGACTTAATTCAGACTCCTAGTCTCTTCCCAACTTAATTTCTTATGGTAGTTACCTATGTGTGTGGATCTTTCTTCCTTCTTCTTTCTTTGCACCCTCACTCACATTCCTCACTCACATTTTACCCTCTCGTCTTAGTCCCGTAAGACTTGATTCTTACCCCTCCGTTCATATTCTCGTTAATCTTTTCACTAGACAGGACAGGAGTTGCCACTCTGAAGCTAGGACTCTCCTTCTTACTACTTGCATCTCAAGACCTGCAGCCTGGATTCATCTGCAGCAAACCGGGACCGCATCGTTTCTGCAACAGTTCTTTTCAAAACACAAGCCCTAATCTCTCTCATACATTCGCGATCCTTGTTATTAAGATCACCATGGATCTTCGGCATAGCTTGCAAACTCTGGGTATAGACGACCCAGCTGAGATTACCCTCAACGAACTTGTGGATAGAATTCAAGACGTACACCCCGACCAATTATCCAAGCAGGACATTCTCCAGGTATTCATGAGATGGCTTCACGAACGAATTAAAAAGGATATTCAACAGAAATCTTTGTTGTCGGAATTTGTCAACTTGCTTTTGACAGGCGGGAAGCTGCAACAGGAGCCGTTTAGTGAAGATGAGATCAAGGAAGCTCTCAAAGAATGGCAAATTAAGGATACTGTGGAAACCCCTGCAAACATACGCAGGTATCAGATGGTACAGCTAGATTTTCATGAGCTGTTTGAGCAGGTTCGACGTGGCACTAAGCAAAAGAGGGATTCGCCCGTGAGATCAACTTCAAATCAGGACGAACACTCCTTGGCCTATCTGAACAAACTGATTAACTCTCAAGATAAAGCTAAGATTGAAACAACGGAATCGACAGCCCTGTGGGTACCTGGCCAGGGAAAGCAACAGACAGGTGCGAACAAAATTCCTCTGGGGCGAAAGGCCGACCTACAGGGCAACATCTATGACGAGATCGTCAAAATCAAGAGAGAGAACAATAGGAAGAGTTCGACCAAGGCCATTAAAGCATCACCCGCGGAACAAACAGCAAAGTTGAGTTCGAGGGACGTAGCTTCAACGGAGGCTAGCCCAATCAAGAGTTACGAGCCCGACTATTCTCCGCTGAATATGCCTCCGTATTTAACTACATCTCCCTGGCACGGGTATATTTGCAAGCGTTGCGATCAGCCAGGTAATGAGATCCAATAGAGAAGGAAAGTCATCTCTGCTAACCTTACCCATAGGACACTGGATTCAGCTTTGTCCTACTAAATTGGATCCAAGATGGGACAAGCCACCTCCACATGATTACCAATGTGGAATCTGCAAAGCATTTGGCAAGCATTTTGCAACGTTGTGCCCTCAAAATGAGTATGAGCTCTCATTAACGCAACAGCGCCTCCGTATCAAAGATCAACCAAAGACGCCTACGCGGGAACATACCCATTACCGAGACCGTTCTCCTTTCATGCCATCTCCCCGAGGCCGCTCCGGAAGTCCTGTGTACAATTCACGACGCAAAAATCATGGTACTTATAGACAAGACAAAAGCCCGAAGGATCGATCTTATAATTCAGGCGGCCGATACCAATCACATGACGACCGTAGAAGTGTCTCGCCTTGGACAGCACGTAAGCGTATGACTCGAGGGTTATATCATCTAAGAAGGCGTTCGACCACCCCGCCTCGCGAGCATCGAAAGCGAGCCAAAGCCCCTCCTCTCGAAGAACGGCGCCCGGTTTTGTATTTATACAATAACAAGAAAAAGGCGGATGAGGGAAGACTTGGATACTATGATGAAGAATTTATAGGCTCGCATATTTCTCCGGCAACGCCAAAGGAAACATCCCTTCCCGAGAATCGCCTCTTAGATACGGTTGAAAGTAAGAATGAACTGATGGCGGACACAGCATCAGCCCCTGAAGGCACGGCTGAAGAGATTGAGAGAACTAGAAAAGAAGCAGACAAATTCCTCGACGCTCTCGCGGTTGAAATTCTTTTAGGCAAAACGCAAGCTTCTCTTCTTACAAACGATATGCCTAGCAACGATTCTACATATCAAGTAGACGAGATGAATATCGACGAAAGTGAGGAAGAAAATGGTGGTCTTAGTAAGGATAAACTTGCCCCGACGAAGATCGCAGACCAGCACCTCCAGAGACTACCGCTCCGACCCAAAGCTACCCCCTTCTCTAGTAGCCGTACGATTCCGATAATTCATAACAAGGCAAACAGAGAACCCGCCGAGGAGCTGATCGAGGAGGCCTAAGAGCCTGTGTACCTTCTAGGACAACAAGAGCATCAGCTACCTAGGCACGAAGCGAGGCGTTTAAGATGAACGGGCTGTTTTCTCCCCGTTTCTATTTGTTCGAGTTGGTGTAGCGGATACACACATGCCATATTATAAGCCACGGAAGGATTAAGATTGCCTTTCTTGAGATTTCGATCTGCGCTTGACAATCATCCCGATACTGAAAGCATCTAACCTCCAAGTTGGATGATGATGCGATACAGACCGATATGGTGGTGGTGGTTCAAGTTCCATTCATTTTCGTCCTTGCGAGACTTTCCGAATGTACATTATGCGTTGTCTTCATAGTAATAAACTTTGCGACTATTTCTGTCACTTTACGTATCTCGTGCTTGCTACACATATTACCAGGATGCCTAAGCATCTATTAAGACGAATGCTTACGTGCAAAGGATGCTAATGCTAAGCTTAGTTGATGTTTCCTGTTTCCATACTCACAGATTTCGTTGAGATGGCTGACGATTATATCATAGCTATCCTCAAGACTTAAATGAGTTGGACGGAGAGCTATCCAAGTACCAGCAGCACAGCATTAGTTTATAGCATTGTTTTAGTTCAATAGGTGTTGCATTAACAAGACTCAGGGGTCATCGAAACATCGTAGGATATCAAGCCGCATTACGCGATAAATACGACGATTGATGCAGGATCTAGGAGAAAGCAATGCCTTAATAGATATGCGTGCGTGCTCGCGAGAGTATGACCTACTGCCCAATTCCAATTTTACCAAAACGCCATACGCCTCTGCCTAGCAGAATAACCACTCGCAAGCTCAACCTATTATCCTATACGCAAGAATTCTCCGCATCTTTATCTTGCTCTAGGGTACCCCTCTGCAAACACTTCACACACACACAGATTATTTCCTCGGATATCCGAAACGTGCTACTCGAGCTTATCGAGGTGCTCGAGGCGGGTGAGGACGACCTGTTTGCTGGTCTCTTCGATCTCGCCGGCGAGGAAGACCTCGTCGAGGATGGCGTAGACCTTGTAGAAGTTGAAGACGAGGTCGAGCTCGCAGACGTTGCCGAAGAAGGCGTCGAGGACCTCGACGAAGAAGTGGATGGCCTCGAGGTAGGCGAGCTCGTTGTCGTTGGTGTCGACGCAGGCGCAGAAGAAGAGCCCCGCGTACCGGCGGTAGACGATCTTGTAGTTGCGGAACTCGACGAAGTTGGACTGGTACTTTTGGTCGCGCGGCGCGACGAGGCGGTGCACTTCGCCCTTCAGCTTGATCTTCTCCTCGTCGCTGTACGGCACGTACCACTTTGCTAGCCGCGTCTTGCCTCTATTTCGGGGGTGGTTAATATCGGAGGTTAGGGGTTAGGGATTGGCAAATTGGTTATATTAGGTACCTAGGGGGAGGTGCTTACTGTCGGTTTTGTATTAATATAAAGGACAACATCTTGGACCTCGACGCGGTACCTATTGGCTATCCGAGAGAGGATGGCAATGGATAGATGGATGGATGGATGGATGTTCGAGGTGAAGCTTCTCCAGGGGTTCGTTTAGTGGTGGGGACTTTGGGGGTTTAGTGGACGTTTAAGAGCGACGCTTGGCTGCATTACATGGGTCCCTAGGTACCTAGGTACATACGTGCGGGTGTGGCTTGTATGACCCCTAAGATTCAATATTAAGAAGTACAGATGTACATACGATTCTCTCTTTTACTTCTATTTGGCAGTCAAACTCGAAACAAACAGAAGATTTCCCAAGTTGGGTAGAGAATAAAAGCTAGTTTTATATATATATAAGTTCCATTGTTACATTTTCAGCTATACCAATACAATTCTACACAGCAATAATACTCTACTATCCTGGGACCTGCCTTAAGCCTTAGATATCAAACTTCTCACCCACCAGCTCCTCGCTCAACTTCCACAACTTCTCTGCGAGCTCCGGGTCCGTTGCCCAGTCCTTGACCTCCTTGGGATCAGTCGTCAGGTTAGTATTCTGCAAGAAGACACCCTCCTCCTTGACCAAATCCGGGTCTAGAGCTGCGCGGAGAGTCGTTCCGCAGCCCTGCTGCAGCGTCTTGTACGGGTCGGCAGCCCGCTGCTCGGCGAGCGTCCTGCCCGCGATCTTCTGCACGGCTTCGTCCATGATCGATGCTAGGTGCGCGCCGTCCATCTGCTTGATGTAGTGCTGTAGGTTCGTCACGATGCTGCCCGGGTGCACGGCGAAGGCGCGGATGCCGCGCGAGGAGAGGCGCTTATTTAGGCCCACCGTGTAGAGGATGTTGGCGCTCTTGGATTGTCCGTAGGACGCGAATTCCGTGTACGAGCCCGGCTGCGTGAAGTTGGGGTCTTCGAAGCGCACGCCCGCGTATCTGTGCCCGGAGCTAGTAAGGTTGACGAGCCTTGCGCCAGGTCCGGCCGCGATGATCTTGGGCATGATCTTGTTGGTCAGGACGAAGTGGCCTAGATGATTAGATTGAAACTGCAGCTCTAGTTTATCCTCCGTCAGCTCGAAAGGAGCCGCCATGATGGCCGCGTTGTTGATCACCACATCGATCTTGGTGATCTCGGGGTCGTCGAGGATAGCCTGCGCTGTCTTCCGGACGCTCTTAAGCGAGGTGAAGTCGGCTTGGACGAACTTGGTCTTAACACTAGGGTTGATCTTTTTGATGGTGTCGATGACGGTTTGTACCTTCTCTGGAGAGCGCCCGACGAGGATGAGTAGAGCTGGTGACTCTGCGGCAAGCGAGGTGACCGTCTCGGCACCGATGCCACCAGGACTAGGGCCGGTTAGGAGGACTAGAATAATGTCAGTCTACCATACTCCCAGAGGCGAGGGAGCATCCTTACAAGTTCTTCCCTTCACCTGGTCAGCAAACTTGTGGACAAGTGCGAGACCTTCGGTATTTCTGTCGTAAGTGGCCATTATTACTGATAAGTATATCGTTGATAACGTTGAGTAGATCAGTCTAGGGTTTTTGGATAGGGCTATGTAGATTTATCCTCGATGTAGTCTTGGGCCTTGGAATGAGTCCTGAGTTATTCTGCTTCATCTTGAGCTCTATATAGTCGCCCAGCTGGAGCGATTTAAAGGTGTCGCTGATGCTCGTATCGAAACTCTAGATGCAGTCCTTACAGTTTCGCAGGTTGTCATCTGCATTTAGCGGTCTTAACCATGATAACGCCGGGAGAGCCTCATCTTCTATATATCCGAAATTCATAGGAAAAGTCTCCGAAGATGTTCCTTCAAAGTCTCCGAGTAGCCAGGCCGTGTAGTTCCCTGTTCCATATTACAGTGTTTAATGATATGTATACGTATTATGCTAGTAATTAGAATGTGGCTGGCGTCATTCAAAAGAGTCATAATCCCCTGTCAGTATTTCTACTAGGAGGAAACGCGGTTTCACTACGTTAACTCCAAACTCCGATGACTTTGCAGATGATGAACCATTGATATAAAAGCCACAAGATACAATTGGCAAATGATTACGAATTTTAATTTTGGCGGAACGTACGCCATTCATATTATTTTAGCTCATGACGAGTCAAATGAGGACAATTGCCACTGGCCTGAACTTACTAGCAATATATTCGTAAGAAGCCATAGTTAAGCTTCCGAGTACATACATAGCTCCCTTTCAACGTTCGAGCAAGATATCGCGGGGAGGCGAAAGAATGACTGTTAATAGTTACAGTAGCTAAAGCATGGGTTTAATGCTCTGCTCTGTGTATGTAACTGGTGATCTTAGAGAACTTATAATAAATCAAAGAAGGCGTCTTTACTTATAATAACGAAATTAATATTCGACGTACGAAATAATTGTTTTCGACATTATGTTAGGTAATTCACTATTACCGAATTGTCTTGTTAACTCTTATTCAACTCTTCCTGCGTCAATTGTAGACTTCAAGGTATTTAATGTACATACGGATTCGTACCTTATATGTAAGCTATTGCAGGGGTTAACCTTGTCGGGTATAGAGATACTTTGTACTTCATATGCACATGTATGAACAGACGCGGTGTAAAGCCACAGTCAAATTTGAAACGATGAATGCTCTGTGGCGTAGCTTGCATCTGTAGATCTAGTTCTAAGTTTCCGATTGGTCAAAGCGGGTTTGTTGTTTTAAGATTCAAGATCGTATGTAAGAACTCAAGTCTATTGGAGCAAGCTTTCACAAGACGACATCTACGTAAGCCTTTTCTAAGTTAAACGATTAACCCGCCTCTTATTACGTTGGTATCATCCATCTTAAGTTTTGTCTCAAGCCGTCTCGAGATTTTATGACGCTTTAATGAGATAGCCACCCTTAACATTGCGTACTTGGTAGTTTAGCCTCTGTTCGCCCAGGCTTAGTTGTCAGTTGTCAGTTGTCGACTTACACGGCGACTATACGTTCCTGACGACTATATAACTCGGCGGCCATACTATTGCCGCGTGAACCTTTCGAACCAGCGGGTACATGAATACAATAATACATGAGCTCTTTTCAACAGCCATCTCAACAAGTCAAATAATTATTGACGACTAGGCCGTTACTAAATTTGCGGACCCTTTCCTCATTCTCTAAAGTACCTAACATACCTACCCTCTCCTCATTCTCTAAAATACATACCTTCCCTCTCTTCTAAATTCACGACAACTATCTACTTGATCTGTCATTCTTCCACTGGGTACCTTACCTAATATTTTCTCATCTCTTTTTCCCCCAACCATACGAGGAAGCAAAAGTTCTCTTCTCAGTTAGGCCATCTTGATCGATTCGAGTGTCCCCGCCTAACGAATATACTGACACTGCTTTCCCTCTTCTACAAACACCTTAGATTCATCTTCCCCAACTACACATAACATTGTTCAACTTCTCTCTTCCACCTTCCACCTTCCACCACGATGAACAACCCCTCCCCCTCATCCACCATGGGTTCTGACGACGAAATTTCCACTTTTCGTATTGTGAAAAGTGATGGAGTAGCAATCCCTGAAGACCGCTTGCAATATAACAAAGCAGTCTCGAGCTCCGAAGAAAACTGGCTACGTAAACTCGGAGAAATGCTAGGCTCACAATTCTACCCCAAATCAAGTTGGTCAACCGCATGGGATAGGGCAACGAAACATACTAATCTTCGTTAGACTATAAATTCGTCTTGGAGGCATTCCCTCAGAACTATACTCTCAGACAGAAATTCCGAGAAGGTATGTCGACCTAGCCTCATATTTTATTATGTATACTGATGGAAACAACTCTAGCCAAGACTACTTCCGACGCGACCTCTTCGGATACAGCCGTAAACAAAGGCGCTTCGGACTGCTACCTATATGGATATCCAGATCTCGGGACGAAAGGCCGTAGCAAGGCAAACTCCAAGAACTATAGATCTCCAGCTGAATTCTTTGACCACTTACTGTGGTTGGTAACTGATGGCGAAGATCGATCCAAGTGTTATTGCAAACATTGCAAGTCATACAACAGTTCTCAAACGAAGACACCGACTGCAAAGGCTCAAGTTCCGGCTAGACCTGGCCCTGCCGCGAAACTGCCGGGACCACTCGGTGGTAATTCCCCAGCACAGTCCGCTACAACATCTACCGCGTCCAGTCCGGCACCAAGTGGCCCCTCAGGAACCTCAGTAGCACCAGGAACCTCGGTAGCATCAGCCCAAAGAGTCGCCTCTGCCGCATTGACAACGCAAGCAGCGATAAGCCCTGCCACAGTGGTGATGCCACATGACAAGCCTCCACTATTTAGGGAGGGAGAAGTGGTGTGGTACATCTTACACAAGTCCTTTCGCTTGGGGCTTGTCATCCAAAATCTACCTAGCGACCCAACCACCTCAACTCCTACCATGCATAAAATCAAGCCTTTATCGCACTCGCGAAGAGCCCTGGAGGACGTTATACAGCCTGAGAATGACATGAGGCCATTCCTGGCGTATAGCGTCCCCGCTCCTCATCCAATCCTCGACAAGTTCTCCAACCATCCCATGGAAGCAATCCCGTGGGATTCACTAGAGGCGCAGGTTAGTAAGATAGACGAAGGTTTAAGCGTCGAAGCCTCTAAGGTAGGCGCAAGTCGTGTAGACCACTCTTACTCTCTCTTTAACCCCCTCGTCGATCCTACGCTCCAACCCAACCAACAGAGTTTCGGTGGTGTTTTCCTCGGCTGCGAAAAGATCTGCACATTCGAGGCCATCCGAGTACGACTGGAGCAGGCTGAGCACCCGCAGTGGGACAATCCCGAGCTCCCCTTCGCCATGGTAGTTAGGAAAATCGTGCTGGAGGGAACAGATAAGGGAGAAGAGCTCTTCTTTCACGGCGACCTCTGGCTCTTGCAGGAGACCGACTCGCCGGCCCACGGAGATTCACTGAGATACGTCACCCAGGCTATGGTCCGCGAGAAAATGTTTCGAGATAAAGTGAAGCACGCATTAGGTATACACCATGAGTGGCGTTTGATACAAAACCCTATCAAAAAGTCGTCGGCGTACGTCCGAGGACGTTTTCACGTATCGGAGAAGCTCGGACCGCTACTCGACCAAGAAAACTGGGCTGCGACGGTGCAGCAGGGGCACTTCATGCCTCCTAAGCACAAGTCTCTGAACAACCGCGGTGACTCCAAGAGCTTCGATGTCGGCCGAAAAGAGTCGCGTTCGGATACCTTCGCCGGCATCTTCCCGCCGGGCACTGTCCTATCTTTCGGACCCGACGTCGTGGAACAGCCCGGAAACGCTTATCATCCTCATTAAGCATATAGTACTACGATAGATGAGACTGTCGTAACTGCGCGGCCGTCGTTTAAGGATATGATGGATTGGCTGGTTGGCTGGTTGGTGGCTTTGTATATCCAGCATAATACCGGCGCTGAGAATGAAGTTCGTCGTCTCCGGTGGTGGAGGCAAAGGCAAGGCACGGTCAGGATAGGGGGAATGGCATCATCAATCGCGTTTTTTTATTAGGTTTCCTTTTCTTTTTAGATTCATCCTCTCGTAGCAGCATTTGTTGCCTGCCGACGGGATAGTTTCGATGTTTATTTTGCAGTTTGTCGTCTACTAGTCCTTTTTTCGCTATAGTACTAGCAATCATGGTCTAGTAGGAGTTGATCCAACTCTCTTAATTACTCTAGCATCAATGCAAAATCTTAGAGCTCAACCCGTAGGTGTCTTCGTAACTATACCTAAGACTCGGGGTTGGTTCATGTCGTTTAACTTTTCGGTTATACTAACTACTTGAGGTAATGTCTAAGCATCTAGATTGGTCCATCTGAGTAAACGGGATATGTTGTTCTGTTATCCCATGTCTTTTCACGTCCAAGCCTGATTTGAAAGGGTGTTTTCTAAATATACATCACGAGAAGCCAACGTCATACACGACACTTTCAACGGTGACTCGTCTCTTACGAGACGGAATGGGTTACATCGTTACCCTGTTGGTAATCTCCATAATACCTAACAAGTAATATATCAATGCCATAGCGATACCACCTTCATCTGCAAGAAGCCAAGCGATAGGTATCCCTACAGAAAAGTCGCCGACGGATAAGCATGCTAGCGACATGTCACTTTGCAGTTTCCTCGCTGACGATAATACCTCATATATGACGACCCGACAGGTTGGGTCGAAAAGATGTCGCTAATTTTAGGTGGTTTCCGATTAGAGTGTACATAGACGACGAACTGTCGTAAATAGGTACCTAGAATACGCATCAAATACGGCAGACCACGGAGTAGAACCGTACATGCGGTAGATATGGTCGTTTATTCTATCCACCATGCGGTATGTCGTGTAATAGTGTATTACATACCTAACATAGCAAGCTTGAATTAACACACCCCAGACCCTTCCCCATACCGCTTCGCTTCTTAGCAAACACCCCCAGAAATTAGTAGGGCAATGCCTGTACACTATGTATGTATTGTACATATCTTAGTCTCTTCGCGGATACATAAAATGTACCGCGATGAAACTCGAACCTGGAGCCTTGCTCGCTCCTTTACGTCGTAGTTAGTGTATTTCGACTTGCGAGGCTGCTAGCGTCGAGCCGCGGTTGATCGTTCCCCGGGTGGATACGCCAATAACGTCTATACATATAGTGTACACTATAGACCGCGGCCCCCGCGAAGCCCACCACCACTTCCATCCATATCCACCTATCCGGTTGCTAGTACATACATAGTGTATGTATTACGTTACAGGTTCAAACGCAGACATGCGTGGGGACCGTTTCAATCGAAAGTATATTAGCATCGACGGTCTAGTGTAGTGTAGTGTAGTGTATGTAAAAGCCGACCTTGTCGCGGACAGGTTCGCGAGGCTCGGTCCGTCTCTCGCTATCCAATTTAGGTGTACAATACGTTACATATGTATAATCCCCCAGCCGCTCAAATCAAAGTCCAGGACATCAAATATATTCTAAGGCTACGTCACCTCCCTCTTCGCTTACATATTCCAACATCAGGTTATAATTTATTTTTATCAGCGAAATTTTCGGACTTATGTAGGTTACTATGGTAGGTATTCCTCGTCGTCCTTGGAATTCAAATCGGCCCGAGTCGTAGCAGTTTGTACGGGGACAAAGTTACATAGCCCCGTACATACACTACCTCGGTACCTATCTTATGTAGGTATGTAGTGACATACATAATCCGTATAACTAGGTATGAAGAATCAATGTGCTTCTCATCGTAGTGCTGCATACCTTACGTAGTGTATACCACCACCACTCACGTCTAACATCGAGGTGGTTGTCTGTGTCTGCCTTACTTACATAAGGATTGCCGCGATTGGAAGTTGACGATAAAACAGCCACCCCGGATTGGACCGGGATATCACCATAGCCAGAAGTGGTAAAAACTCTAGTCTTGGCATTTTCTATCACGCGAGTGATTAACATACATCTTATCAAACCCTGATCGATTTCGACATCTCCTCGGACACGTTTTTGTGAGAAATGACGGCGGGAATAACGGACGGCTGGGGTGGGAATGACGTTTCAGAAGGAGCACTTGGCACAAAAGGGTACGGGAGTTTCCGTTCGCCGCCTCGTGACGAGCCCTCGAGGAATAAGGGCGATCAACGTGATTTGAGCGTGGCCGGATCGACAACGTGGGAAAGAGGGAGAAAAAAAAAAAAAAAGAAGACCAAGATGCCTAGTGTGATAATGCTGGAGATCTTGGCTGTCAGCATGCATAATATGTAAAAGGTGTATGTATACATTGCATAAATGACGAATAACAATTCAACTGCTTTTGCACAAAACGACATGTCCAAATTACCTAAACATTGGTCGCTACCTAAACCTGATTGAAAAGAAAAAAAGGGGACCGTAAAATCCCCGGAGCTAAACTCGTTTAAGGTTCTCGGTACCACAAATCACCATCGTAAGGCGCAAACGCTTACTAGTTCGGAAGTTCCGAAATTTCGACCTAGGCGAAACAGAGAATAGGGCCATCCAGGCTACCGGGTCGCCAGCCCAGGAAAAAAAAAAAAAAAGAAAGAAAGGAAAAAAAAAAGTCTGGTCGGCGGGGTCCGGCTTCCCACGGGTCGCTCCTGGTGTCCATTGCTCCTCATTTCGCGGGTAGGAAGCGGAAAAGCTTGTCGCAGATCCGCATCGTCAAAAGAGCTAAGAACCACGGTAGCAGCCCAAGTTAAACATCGGTAGTCGCGGAGGAGATTTCTAGATTTGTCCTTCCATTCTATCCACTTCCCACTTCGCCCAGTCCAACCTTTCCCAGAACGGCGGTTCTGCCCCCTCTTGCCCCTGTCGAGAGAGAAAACCCCGGACTACCTGGGTTCGACGTCTTCTTTGCCGTCCCCTCCGGTCGGTATGTATCTTTTAATATGTAGTTACAAGTTACATTGCCCCGGTACATACCTTCACAGTACATAACTAACTAGTTACATACTAGGTTAAATAGTATGTAATTCTGTCAGCAATTAGGCAGTTAAGATAGGCGAGGATGAAGCTAGCCAGGTTTCGTTGCAGCAAAGAGTCGCTAACCTTCAACCGATGCGACGTGCAGCGCGTAACGCCCAACAGTCGGGCGCTTAAACAGCGAGGGTAGCCTGTTAGCCTGTGGCCGCCTTGTAAGTAAGTTCCTTTCGATGACCTACCTCCTTTATGTATTTATACGTATGTAAGCAAGGAGGGTGGCATACATACATCCCATTTGGTTTCATTCCACCAAACCTCTCCAGGTGCTAAGAAAAGCCACCCGCCCCGAACGGCTGGTTTAGGTTGATAACGTCCTACTTTTCGGCGCTTTATACATATGTGAACCCAGAGCGGCGGAATGCACCTCTACACCCCAAACGCCGAGACTCATATCGGCGATACCAGACAGTTATGTTCGCCGGATGCCGGAGTAAGCGAACCAAAGCCGAGAGGACTTTCTAGTTTGATGAAATGGTGTAGTTATTGTATCTATGTAGGATATCTATTAAATATGAAAAAGATGATAGTTATGTAAAGTTAAAGTGTTGTTAGTGCGGTATAGGTGGATTCTCTAGTGTAATTGGTCGTGCTGACCGCAACTTGCTAGGTCATGCTTTTGAGATGATAGACTGATTTTATATTGGTCTGACTGCTCAGTCATGCAAGCAAGACTCTTAATGTGCTTTACATAATAGGTTGTGCCCCAAGATCGCGTCACCTTATTTAGAGTGTAGGTAGTTGACAAGCTGTGGTTGAGGTTGTGGTTGTGGTTGTGGTTGCAAGTGTAAGAAACGCCGCATACCCTCCATTAGAGCAATGCGTAAGGATTTCTCGTTACTTTCTCATGCGAGTGATCGAAGGAACATGCGGTGCGACCAGCAATCCAGCAATCCAGCAGGACTTCAAAGTGGTTGGAGTGGGGAGACAGAGTAAGCTTAAACTTGTTAGGTCGAGTGGAGATGCAATGTAACGAGAGCTGCGAGTCAGCATTATGGAGGTATGGGCTTGAATTGCCCAATCCGAAGAGAGTTATGCTGCCGTGCCCGAAATTGCCGGGCTCAAGGCCGTTAGATCAGATCAGATCGATCGAAGAATGACTAAAGGTAGAGCTCAATGAGCGTCAAAGAGAACGACTTTTTATATATGAACTATGTATATGGTAAACGTATATTTCTCGTCTCGATATTACAGTGCCGAGATCAACATGAAAGGTAATTTAGATTGTCATTGCAACTCGGCAGCAAAACTATCAACTTAATGCCAGTTGCCTTGTGCGCCCATCTGACTCGCGCACAATAAACGTAGTAGTTATTTATCTTCAGAGTACCAATGTGTCTGTCTAGTCAATCTTCGTAAGAATGGGAAGTTGTAATAAGTTTAAATATCAACGCGTGCTTAAGGTGGTATAATGCGGCTCATATCGTAATTCGTTGCACATAATGTTACCGTCGGCAGATCCGATATATACACTTAGCCCGAATATGAAGGGGTATGGAAATGTAGTCAGGCTTCGGCTATGTGCTGTGAAGCAAAATCAAGTCGGAAGATTCGGTCGGGTCGGGTTTCTCGTTCGGTTTCATTTAGGCTGATGAAATATATGTTCGAAACAGTTAACTATCCGCAGTCGACAGGGCCGCCACGCGGAGTCGTAGGGTTTCCATAATATCGGGGTCTGGTTCGGGGTCGACTTTCCTAGGCTTAACTCGCGGGCAATCGGTACACTTCTTGTGCGAACAATTGCGACATTCGGTTCCATCGTCCGAGTTTGGCGGAAACTTCTTTCTACATTCGTGACAGGCGTGAACTCCTTTAAAGTTTGTGCCCGGCTCGTCATTGGGATATCCATATGGATACTTGTACTTGTCATTCCTGTATGAGGTTAGGCACTGATAAAACTG